ATTAGCTGTTCCTAAGTTTGGATCAGCCTAATAGCCAAAAATAAAATAAAAAAGTTAATTTATCAAGCTGTCATAGTGATTGCTTGATATAAACTGACAAGAAAAAAAAAAGTTTTTTTATTTTATTTTTATTTTTTTTACAAAGTGTAAAAAAATTAAAATAAAGTGTAAAACAAAATTAGGAAAATATAAATTATATATAAATATATTTTTTATACTATAATATAAAAAAATTCTAAAAAAAAATAATAATAATCAAAACTTGTGAAAAAAGGGTTTTTTTTCCTCTTTTTTTATTTTATTCAAATTAAGTGAGGGGTTAGGTACACATATGTGATATAATTATATAGCCCTATCTGTCCTCTAAAAAAACAATATATAATATGTGTGGGTACATTTAGTAAGAAAGTATATTACTGCTGTGGAAGAATCACACAGCAAAAATGTAAAAAATGTGTCAGTCATTTATGAACAGAACCTGAAAACTAGCTCAGTCATGAAGGGGTTAAATAGCGATAACCATTGAGGGGCAGATGGAACTCTTATTTCAAATCCCTGCCTTTTTGGCAATTTTTTTGGACTCTGAATCTTTTCCAAGGTTTTGGTGGAGACTCTTGCACACTTGCGTCTACAGTCTGTTGTGGCTTTGCACAAATCTGACTGGGAATTTAGTGGAAATTAAACTTGCCACAGATGCTGACGAATATGACTGGGGAGCCCATTTAAAAGACCAGATAGTCCAGGCGACCTGATTGACGTGTATCCAAACCTCTGTCATTGTCCTTAGTGGTGAGACAAGTTGTTTTACATGCTAGTTTGTGAGTGTGCCATGATGCCTTTCTACTGTTCTACTGATTGAAATAGAAGTCGGCCAGATCTTCCAACTGGAAGGAACCTCAAGCTGTGTTGCTAGGTCTGAAACATTTCCATAGGCAGAACCCATGTACAGGTTTTTCAGGCAATGCTACAGTAGCCCACATAAGCAGACAAAGGGGCACATAATCATCTTTTCTGTAGATCTTAGAAGAATTCTTTAGCCTCGCTCAGTGCATCATCTAATTTCCACAGCCAAATATGCACCACCAAACAATGCTGTTGTTCAGTCTGACTCATGAAATGGTATATGGTCCCAGCACAAAACTTTTTCATAGGATTTAAACGTACCTGTGTCCCCGCCGCGCGCTCCTGTCCGAACATCTGAAAATTCTCGAGCTGCCACAAAGGATCTGGGGGCGGGCGCATGCGCAGTTCAGATCTTCGGCCGGTAGTCGAGAAGAGACACAAGGTAAGTAAATGCAGCAAACAAACTCTGTGGGACAGGAAGTGCCAGTTAAGAGAGAGGAGTCAGCGCTGGATCAGAGACCTACACCAGCGCTGGAGGGACTCCTGACAACTACAGGAAAGAAAATGATGATCCGATTAAGAGGCATAATTTTAAGATATGTCCTTACGCTAGGATTGGGGTGGACTTTAGCCTTTAATGTCAGTTTTAACTGCTTATAAAATACTGTATTGTTGGAGTTGGTCTTTCATTTGTGGCTTACTTAATCCATCTAAAACTGCTTGTCCATTTTAGACCTGTTCATACGAACACTGCTGTGATTTCACTGCAAAACAAACATAATTTGTCGCCTTATTACAGCAAGCGGAAAATGAAAGGATCTGATGATGGGCATAAAAAGTAAATATTAAAAAAAAAGTAAATATTGCTAGTGACAGACTGCACCGCGTGCCATTTTTGCCCATACTTTTGCCTTTTAGTATGCAACTGTAATTGATAATGATATGGACATGCATAGGGGAATGCAGTACTTATGTATGGTTTGTTTTCTAGGTTTACTGGGAAAAATGAGTAACAAACGTTTATGCTTGCCTGGTGCCAGAGACCAGCAACATGAAGAAAAAGATGGTAAGAGTTGAATTTTTTGTATGTATGTATTTTCTAAAACTGGAGGCCCTGTAGAATGAAAAGATGGTAGTTGCACATTTTTATGCCGCGGGATATTTGCGCAAATGTTTATCAAACATTTTCAGTAAGTAAAAAATACTCATTCATTTTATTACACACAAACGCAATATAACTTATTTTTTATTGTATAATAAAAAAAAGATGAGATTGTGTCCAGTAAATGGCAAATATGTTGCACCTTAAAATTGCCTGTTTCTTCGACAAGGCTAAAAAAATAATACCCTAAATTGTCCACAGGCAACACTTTAAAAGCCTTTTGTAGTTCATCAGTTTATTTATTGCAGGTATTTATTTAGCGCCTCCAATTTACGCAGCGCTTTACATAGTTGCACATTCACATCAGTTTATAATTAACTGTGAATAACACCATTAATATTCCTCTTTCTCCGATGTGCCAGAGATACATGTGGTTTATGCATGTGTGCACGCCCTACCACATATTTAAATTTTTGTAAAACACTTTAGCTATATTGTCCCTTAAGGTGCACAGCTTTATAATCACTCAACCTAAAGTTCTAACAAGGAGAAAGGAGAAATAAAAACTGTGGCTAGTGTCAGTGCTCCTGTAGAACCTAAACTGAAGGCCAGCTTTGGACTCGTATCCCCTCCCACCTCATATCTCCTTGGTGTCAAGAGTAGACACATTTTCTTCAGCTCTGGTTTTTTTTTTTTTTCTGGTCTTTGGAAGATTGTTTAACTATTAACAGCTGCTGGTATATTTAGGCTGAATACTGAAATCCTGGAAGTCTCTCCAGTCGGATAACAAGCACAGGTTTTCAGAGGGTATCCTTGTGTTCTCCTTGTCAGCCCTAAATTCTTGTCACTTTAAGTTTAACGGTGTTCTTGTGAGCGGCAGTGACAACTTGTTTGTTTTCCAGTTAGCATATGACTTTGTTTCAGGTCAGGTAAGCATGTCTTGGGATTCCTTGTGGACCAGAACTGAACCAGTTTTTCTGTCTCATTGTTGAGTAGCTTGTAGGCCTTATTGATGTTTTTTTTTCTCTGTTTTGTTCCGAGGCTAGGTGTGTGGGGGGTTGTTTTTTTTGGGGTTTTTTTTTTTTGCTGCTGCTGCAGCAGCTGTATCTGTCTGGCCACTTGTAAAAGGATTAAAATTCTCTTTTTACTACAGCTTGCCATTCGTGGATATAATTCACATGCTGTGTACTTGAAGGATTCATCCTTATTAGAATGGGCTCTTTGTGAGGGGGATTAAAGATCTATCCCTTGTACTAGATTTGCCTGTATGTCTTGATTATTGTTTTTGTGCAAGCTGTACTTTTTATTGTGAATGGGGAAATCCTCCTTTTAACTCACACCTTGGCGGTAGTGCCATGGGATCCGTTTATCTGGATCTGTGCATTTGCTGCACTAAAACTCTTACCTCGTCTACTTCAGAAGGTCAAGGGCATTCCAGTAATTTTCCTACTTCAGAATTGGCCTTGAAGAGTTTAGTATGTCAATCTTGTTTCTGACATCATGACACCAGATCGCCCAGCTCTGTTATCACCAGAATGGATCCTTTACCCTGCTTCTTAATGAATTTTGGATTTTGTAATTCCGATCAAGTTAAATCTTCTATCCACTGGTGTGTGTCTGGGGGTTTTCCCATGTGCTTTTTTTGGTGGGCTGTGGTCTTTCCTGTTTTTTTTTTTTTTGGAGGGTAAAGCAACTCTTGGCCCTTTAGCAATATAAAGATCAGGTTTTCGCACCATCCTTTTTTCTTTTCTTATTTACTCTTACCCAAAGACATGGCTGTTTTGCACAAGCTGCTTTTTACTAAAGTGGTGTCTGCTTTCCTCCGGTTTCCAGATCCACTATATGTGGATTTGACAGACTGTTGTGCATGCCTATGAATTACAAGGTAAAGTGCCTTCTTTTCCCATTACAGCTCTTTCCACTGTGTTTGTGAGTGTTTCTTGGGTTTTTGCATTACCAGGCCTGGTGTTCTTAACATACTTTTTTTTTTTTTTGTGACACAAGGTTGATATCTCTGCTTCCGCAGATGCTAGTTTTGGTTGGAATGTCCTTTAAGTGGCTATTGCCTGTTCTGTCAAACGTCTGATGCATGTTTTTGGTGATTTTGATGATCTGGTATTTGCTATCATCTAGTGGTAGTTTTAGCTTCACTGCTTGTTTTTTCATATTCGGTATCTGCCTCTGTTCTCCCCTCCTGTTCAGTGCTAGTTAATTCAGCCCTAGCAAGACCCTCCTTGCTTCCTCATATTCCCTCAGGGTTGGTCATTACAGGGAGAAGGTATAGAAAGCCATTGATGTAGAGCTGCAGCTAACGATTATTTTCAAAATCGATTATATTAGCCGATTATTAAGTTCGATTTAATCGGTTAATCGGATAAACTATAAAATAAAGTTTAAAAAATGGCTCCAGTGATAGGACTACTAAATGTATTGGACCTCAAAATAATTTAGAAACATTCTCTGTACTGCACTTATATGAAATAAAACTATGTTGGATTTATCTTGCACCTTATTGAAGAGTTAAACTGTCTGTGGATTGTGCCAAGTCAGAAAGTGGCCAATGTCTAAAGTGGTTCTAAGGATCTGTCATTGCATATATTGGCATTTTGAAACAAAGCAGTAAAAATTTCTAAAGCCTTCTTCTTCTCCTTTTTTTTTTTTTTTTTTTTTTTTTTTTTTTTTTTTAGAAGTTTCCCTATGTCTCCATAAGCACATGGTCTGAATGGCCACATGCTGCAATACAAACTGAGATCTGCAAGCAAATAACATTTCGAAAGCAACTAGAATTGGATAGCAATCTACTCCATGCATTTACCTTGTGTGTGTCTTATCACTCAGAAGCACATTTTTCTGCAGTTTGGGAAACTGTGCGTGGATTTTCTGTGCATTAAACTTGTACAAGAACTGTTTCTATAATTATCCCTGATGCTGGAAGTGCTGTACTGCATTAGACTGTGTTTGGTTTCTTTTCTGCATAAACGCTTACTGATTAACATATTACTGCACACAAACACAACAGGTCTCAAAATTGTGTGCATCCACTACATATCTACAGTGAGCAACCTGCTCTTCCCCATGATGATTTACAACAGGGAGAGATCTGCTAGACCCATATGTACAGTTAAGCCTTCTCTGAAGCTCAGAGAAATATGAAACAAACAGGGCAGAAATGTCTATCAGATCTGTGGAATTGGACTGTGCAATGCATAAATGCTGCTGATAAACCAGTTAAGGCTATAGAACCAACCAATGCAACTGGAAAGCTAAAAGAGACTAAGTATTAATAGAGCAGAGTCTCTTCGAGCGCTAAATAACTTTACTGCTTATAACTGACATAGACATGTTACTTTCCAGGAGGCCAAGTCATAGACGGATCTCACAACTGTATGAAACTGCATATTGCCATCTTACTATAAGACACTCAGACATTTTATAGATTGCTAAGGGCCTACACTCAGTGGTCATCTCAGCCCAGACTAAAGCAAAAGCAGTAAAGGCAGAAGCTTATTGTATGGAGAGGGTTATCAAAGCACAAGCTGCTCAAACAGAAGCGCAATCTACCCAAGCACAGGCAGAAGCCTAGCTAACGGTCCTCCAAAAGAAAGGAAACAGCAGCTGTGGATATGCTTAAAGTTTTAGAATCAAACCATAGAGGAAAAAGTCCATCTTATTTTGACAGCCTTGGATGACAATATTCTGAATAGATGAATTGCAGTTGGTCCTAAAGAAATGCTTCAAAGCTTGTACAGCAACCCAAAGTACATACGCCAGAAGGATACTTCTTTGCTCCAAAGTTACTAACACCTATACAGTAATTTGTATGCCTTTTACAGGCCATCGTTATAATAAGAACTTGGGGGGGGAACTGTTACACCCCTGAACTGCAAGGGTTAAGTCTAGCTCCATCTAGGTGCTAAAAAAAGTTATACTCACCTGAACCTCTCAGCTGACTGGCTGGCTTAGAGCGTTCCACCAGACTGCTGCCGCCTATCCGTACCTAGACGAAAACGAGCACTTAACCCTTAGCAGTGTGGGGGTAGCCCCACTGTAAGGGTTGAGAAGCGTTTTTCCTGTAGTTCTTCTTGGTTCTTCTTTAAGCTCACTTAATCGCCACAAAAAACTACTGGGTGCGGTCAAACCTCCCAGATGTCAAGCCTTCACCTGGACTGAACCAGTTTGCTTCTCCACCTTGTTGTGACAGGAGCATCGTACCTACAGGGTTAATTAGAGAAAACATAGCATCCCATAGCCTCCCTTAACATTACACACACAAGGCAAGCTAGGTAGGATTTTTAAACAAGTAGAAAACAGTTAAAATGCAAGCAGCAATTATATGTATTTTTTTTTTTAATTATTATTTATGCTATGTGGTAGATTATGCTATGCTAGACTCATTGCTTATGCTAGACTCATTAAACCAGCTGTAGATCTGTAGCGCTGCACACTTACTATTTATGCTATGAGAAAGAGAATATGCAACAAATATAAAGTATATGTTGTCCCAATTTGGCTGCAAAAGTGGAAATATATCCACATCCAAAACCCAGACAAGGGCCTTCACCTTGTGTGGGAGAGATTTAAATCAAACTTATGGAACTCTGAAGTTTTTTGGGCCTTGCATTGATTAAGGGACTGCAGGGATTTCCGAAACTATCCTACAGACGATCAGAGATTCCAGGAACAAAGCCATTTTCTTCTTGAACTGGAAATCATTAAGGAAACCCACATCTATCAGATCTTAGCTTCCTAGACACCGCACATGGTGTGAACCCCGTTGTAGCAAAATTGCTTGACAATATCCAAGAAAGATGGGCAGCAGTGGGTTCAAGCTATCAAGATTAAATTCCAATATCCTTTCCACCTTTCTCCTGTTTTTCAAGTTCATAAACATTCCCAGACCGCACCCCCCAAATTACATAAAGTGAAAACCTCACCACCAAACAGACTCTAGGAACGTTGTCTCCATAAGATAGTTGGGAGTTACACCAACTATCAGCAATGATTGTGACTGTAAGGCTACATTTAAAGTGCCATTAAACTCAGGAGTTAAATCTTAATGTATTCAAGTACTATAACTATTAACAAAAATGTATCTTATTTGTGTATCACTCGGCTGTAGAGCCTCAAATCATCTCTGAATTGGTGCGGACACTGTCCTTCCTTCTGGAGGGTGGCTACTTTTTGTTTCCCATAGTCTGTGTTGTAAATTAGCCACCGCTCCAAGCTGGATTTCGTGATAGGCTATAATTTAAATAGAAATTAGTAAATTAAACATGAGATTGTAGTCCATCACAGGAGTGAGCTTGGAGCTGTGGCTACTTTACAACACACACAGGGACAAAGGGAAAAGTAGTCGCCCTCCAAAAGGAATGAGTGTCGGCATGAATTCAGAGGTGATTTGAGGATCTACCGCTGAGTAATACACAAATAAGCTAAATTTGTTAGTAGTTGGGGTACTTTAATACATTAAGGTTTACCTGCTGCGTTTAGTGCCACTTTAAGTAATCAGAATGTGAGAGTGAGACATGTTTAGGCTTTACACCAAGGCTGCTTGCATCTACTATCATCCACTGAAGAGCTTGCACCCACATAAGATTATAATGGGTAGAGCCATGAACTGCCACCTCCCAACTATTATATCGAAATATAGGGAGCTGACATCATAAAGGACTTTCAAAGAAAACCAGTCCCAAAATATATCTGGCTAGTGTTCCCTCAAGGTCAACCAAAGAATGCTGTCAATTTATGCTGTTAGACCTTTAAATCCATCATTAATTTTTCACTTTGGACTCTGCCGCATTTAATGTAGAGAGAGCAGTATTGCCCTACATTCTAGGTACATGTGCTGGTGTAGAAAGTAGAAAACCACAGGAATTGCTAGTACTGAAGAGCTTATTACTTCAGACACAAAAGGAACTGAAGGAATTCATTTTCCTGTACTTGTCAACTGCAGTGAAATGTCAAGAGATCTCTGTACTGGAAGACCCACATCATGTGTATGACAAGTCTATGTATCGCCATTAGACGATAATGCCAAAATCGTGCTTCTGTTGGAAAGAGAAATCCAAAGAGTCCACAATGTACAAGAGCGGCACAAAAGTGTTCATCGTAATGGACCTCGTGCTTAAAGAACTAACCTAGATTATTATAGGCGCTTCTTACTCCAGTAATGGGCAGGGTTCAAACAGTGTGCGCAATTGTAAAACTATTGAGAATTAAGAAATTCCTCTCTCAAAACTCATGCTACGAGAACTCTGACCAAGACGTCTCAAGCGATCAAATCAACATAATCATCTTGCAGCCGTGTCGGTGCAACAATATCTCGACTACTGCTGACAGCAGCAACACTGAACCTTTAACAGGTGATCAGAGCTCTACCAATACAGAGATACTGTACTGATGTTTATCACTTCATGGACTGCTTAACTAGTGACCTAAATCGCTGTCTAATTTAGAAGAAGATGCTAAAGAATTTCTCACAGCTTACATGTTATTGGAATGTGTGATGTATATTTCTGTTGCGTAGAACTAAAATGTTACTGATGTTTTGGTATCTGCTGCCATCAAGCAAGTTCAGTGCCACTGCAACCTATCTTGTATTTGGCATCTTCCTCTGTTCTCCCCTCTTTTTCAATGCTAGCTAGTACAGGCCTAGCTAGATCTACCTAGTGACCATACCATCTGCACAGGCTAGGTGTAATGGGGTATGTTATTTTATATACCAGCATTTAAAACAGGCCCATACCCTTTTGTTTCCCTTTTTTTTTGATTGTTTTTTTCTTGTTTTGGCTGGTTCACCTATGAGTATTCTGCCCATCAGTTTGGACTGCTTTTGGATGCTCCTAGTTTGCTAAGTTATATAATATATACTGCCCCATGATTACAAAATGAGGGAAATACCCAATGATGTGCCTGTTCCAGCGCCGCTTGCTCCCAGCTGAAGCACTTGGCTGTGAAGAAGTGTATAGTAGAGGGTAGGGGAGAAAACGTGCACTAAAGCTTGATGAACGCAGGAGCACACACGCATGTTGGACAGACACCGTGGGAAACGAGGAGTCTGTGTTGGATTAGAGACCGGCACCAGAGCTTGAGGGACTGTCTAAAACGAGTGGAAGGAAAATGACGATTGGAGCAAGAGGCATCAAATAAGGTAAGTGCTTATAGCAGAAAAGGTGGGGGGGGGTTTACCTTTTTTAATGTCACTTTAGGAGCTGACCTTCAGTTTCTGGGTGCTTGGTGTCCATTTCTCCTGTTGGCAGATGTGTATAACTCTAGGCTGCTTAATTATCTAGCTGTGTCCCTTATGCAAAGGATTGTACCTGGAGTACAAAAATTGTGGTTTATTTTTTTTAGGGGGGGGCTTACTTTCCCTCTGTGATGGCATTGGGCCAGTGACAGGTCTTGAATGGTGACTGGTTAAAAAATATGCTTGAAAGGAAGATGAGCTGGGCTTGAAAATTAAACGGCTGGCCGGGAGCTTTACATTCAAGACTCTAGAGACGCCCGATCACTTGTATTAGGAAGTGATGTATATTAATCACTTCCTGCATTCAGCTGTCTTTCCCAACTACAGAAACTGGTGAAGCAGATCTCTACTTTATCAACTTCTCTGGGAGTCCCTAGGTGACAGGGGTCTTGGAGACCCCTGATGTCTCCATAAAGAGGACCTGTCATGTAAATTGGCTATCACATAGGGGGCTTCTTTGCACCCCCATGTAATAGCAATAAAGTTGTGTGTAAAAAAAAAAAAAAAAGTATTACAAAAATTAAAATCATAAAAAAAAATTAAAAAAGAAAACATTTTTTTAAAGTCCCCGCCCCCCACATACACACGCAGATATGCGTCGGGGTGCGCCTACGTGCGAAACCGACGATTGCGCCTATTGTGCCGCACATATTACATATCGCCGCAAAAGTCGGAGTGAGAGCAATCATTTTAGAGTCATTAATCACTGATAACTCTAAAAGAGACGCCCTAAAATTTTTCAAGCCCTGAACATGAGAGAGCCATGTTGAGTTTCAATAAACATCTAAATTAGAAGTTCAGTATATTGCAGGTTATCCTGAGAAGTGAGGACCACATTAGTCTTTTTCAGGCCAAGTACGTTTTCTGCAAGTACAGAAAAACTGATGCTGACAAATCCAGTGTCCTTTTTTTAACTTTGTGTACTGAACTGAAATCTCAGGGCCTGTTCACACGACGTCCGTTTTCTGTGCTGACCTGATCTGTACGCTCCTGCACTAAAAATGTATCCCTATGTGTTTTATGGGCTCACGTGCACAGTCCGTTCAGGTTACAACAGAAAAATACTACGTCACATTTTGTACGGTCAGGAAACGCATCAAACGCACTGCAGCTAACATACTAACAGCCCCACTCCAGCAAAAAACAATTAAATTTTTTTTTACTGGAACGCATCAAAAACGCACTGCATCAGTTGCAACGCATCTGCACCTGATCAGGACCTGATATCATGTGAACAGGCCCCTCAAACATTATCAGCCTTCCCTCCACGTTATGTAATGGAGAAGAGGGAAGAGGAAGGTTTTTGCAGTCCAAATTAACCCCTTCGTGACTGACGACGTACAGTGTACGTCGCCAGCATCGGGGCTGTTTAAACAGACTCCCGGCGACTTTTGACGCCGGGACTCTGTTTAAACTTGTAGAGCCGACTGTCGGCTTTACAACAGAAGCGATCCTGGCGACTTACCTGTCGCCAGATCGCTTCTGTGTCCCGAAGAAGGGGCCGCCCCCCCCCCCGGACACCGCCGCCGTGCTTCCCGGGCTCCGTTGCCCCTCCTACGGGCCCGGGACCGGCGTCCTTGGTGTCCGCGGGGAGCTGGGGGAGCGAAAAAAGGGCCTCAGTCATGAAGGGGTTAAGAGAGCAGCCTAGGGTGACAACAATGCTCTTATACAGATGCCTTACAGTGAGTAAATGTTGTTACCCTATGCCATGAGGTGTTATCTGGGGGAAAAAATGGCCTGACCAAAAAAAAAAAAATGAATGCAGCCTGCACATCTGATGAATGGTAAGAAGCAATAAATTACACTTGTGTTCTTTTGGTTTGAATTCACTTTTAAAAATAAGTCTGCATACAGTATGCACAGATTTTGGCCCTAAGCTTGAAGTCTGTTTACCAAAAGATGTATTTTTTCCCATTTTAATGCCTCAAACAAAGCTTAAAAAAAAAAAGCACAGGAAGTACTTGGGGCAGCTGTACAATAGAACCTGTCTTAAAAAAACTGCCAACCATTGCTAGGCCCCTGTTGCTCATTTTTGAATTGTATTCTTGAGATTGTGTTACCCTTCAAAGACTTCTAAAAAAGCAGTGACTGTTTGTCCATGATACCTAGTGACTTAAATATATGCCTTCTGTTTTCATCCAATTTATAGGTGAAGAAGGCAAAGATGGCACTCATGCCAGTACTGTAGCGTTGAGTACTTCTGAGAGATGTCCAATTTGTCTGAACAGCCTTTCTCTGGAGGTTGGCTTTCCAGAAGATTGTTGTCACGCTTTCTGTATATCCTGCATTCTTAAATGGTCTGAAGTAGGTATCAAGTTAAAATAAGAGCTGTAAAGATTGTTTCTGCATGGTATGGTTTAATTCTATCTAATGCTGTCTTTATTATAAGGAAAACATTTTGTCATAGGGATTTTCAGAGCTGAACACTTCCTATGAGACAGGAAGTAAATGTAACATGACAATATACAATAATATGTATGTATGTAAAAAAAATATTTCTATTGTCTCCTGAAGTATTCCCTTTTTTAATGCCTCCTGTGTCCAAGTTGGATTTAGCACCATTAATAAAACTAATATTTTTAAAGTGTACATCTGGGTTAAAGTAACAAGTACAGATGTGAACAAATTTGCCATTCCCTTTACAGCTTATTATAATAGTGTTTCATTCCTCCTGAAAAGTGATGAAACTAAAAGCAATCATCTCATGTATACCTGCATGCTTTTGATGTGTCAGAGTAAAGCAAAGCCAAGATATTCTAAAATGGCATGGACAGATTTGTTAGTACCCCTAGAAAAGATATTATAGAGTGCATCTTAGTGATATTTTAAACCACACTGAACATGGACCAAAGTAAGCAGAGTTGTTTGAGGAGACCAGAAAGAAAATTAGACCCTACATGTCAAAAGTAAAAGGCATAAGACTATCTCTAAGCGGCTTGATAGTAACTACAGTTGAAAATATTAAGTTGTTTAGGGTCCATAGGTGTGTCGCTAACCTCCCTGGACTTTGCCCCCAGATTGAGCATTAGCTCTGTGTTTACAAATGGGGTGAAAAAAAATGAAACATTCAAAGAAAAGAACACCATACCTACTGTGAAACCATGGAGGAGGCTCAGTTATCGATTCGGGCTCCTTTGCTGCGCCCGGGACAGCATACTTTAACCACTTGCCGTCCGCCCATTGCAATAAAACTGACCGACAGCACAGTCACATTGGCGGGTTGCCGTTACTAGACGGCATTTTTTTTTCTGCTTGCGCGCGACCCCTAGCGTGCGCACGGGCAGGAAAAACCCGTCCGATGTAAAGAGCCGTTACCAGCTGTTTCACATATACACGATCGGCTGCTCTATAGCCTACCGATCGTGTGTATGTGCTGGCTGCGTGACCACTTCCCCCCCCTCGAGTGCTGCCACCGCCCCCCCTCCTGACCCCTCACCTTCAATCCAGGGATACGCTGCCCCATCTGCGGCCCGGGACTAGCTTGGAAGGGTGTCGGGAGGGAGATCAGCATCTTCCTCCTTGCTGATCTCCCTCCGTGCTGTGAATGCGGAAGTAATGTGTGATGCATCACTTCCGCATTCACCTGTCAGTCATCTGGCTGCTATTGCCAGAGAAAAGAAGCAGATCTCTGCTTCATCAGCTTCTTTTGGGGTGCTCAGGTGACAGGCATCTTAGAGACCCCTAATGATCTCCATAAAGAGGACAATTGCGCAACACGCGTTACATATCGCCGCGAAGGCAATCATTTTAGGGCCATTAATCACTGATGACACTAAAATGATGAGCGGTAAAAGCTTTTAGTCACCTACGGCCAATTTTGGGTATTGTTTTTTGAGGTTTTGCGCGCACGCAATTTTAAGGCTTGACATGTTTGGTGTATTTTTACTTGACGTGACCCCATCTTTTATATTTTACCAAACAATTGGGTAATAAATGTTTTATCATTTAATATAGGGGAAACAGTTTATTTTTTATTTCGGTAATTTTTCCTTAATATAGTAAAAAATAAAAACCGCAGTGATGATTAAATACCACCAAAAAAAAGCTTTATCGGTCCCCAAAAAATGGTATAAAATTAATTTCAGTACAGCGTTGCATGACGGAATAAATGTCAAAGTACCGCAGCGCTGAATACTTAAAAATGGCCTGGATGGGAAGAGGGTTTAACACCACGGACTTAAAGTGGTTAAAGTGTAGTTTCACTTTTGCAGTAAAATTTGTGAAAACCCTACTATGTGTTTCCATTCACAAAGCGTACCTAAAAATATATATTTCTTACCTTTTGGCTGTTTCTTTGGTGATGGCCTTGCTGCAGATTCCAAGCTCTGAGTAGTTTAAAAAGTGAAACTAGATGGTCAAACTAAGCTTTTCTCTCATTAACATACTGTGTGTTAAGAGCCTGTTGACACCATGCAAGTGCGTTCATGTCCAAATTCCATGAATTGAAGCGAATATCACCGCCATGCCCCCCTCCCGCCACAGAACGCAGGGAAGGCTTTGATTATGCGATCCAGTGCTTTCATGTCACCGAACTGTGACAAATTCAAGTAGAAAGTCATTCGCACTCCAAAGCGATGCCCAGTCAATCTCTTTATTGACTATGGTAGTGTAACATCTCAAAGCGACGTTTCAGAACCACGTGGTCCATTTCCTCAGTCAAACAAGAAGGCCTGAGGAAATGGACCACATGGTTCTGAAACGTCGCTTTGAGATGTTACACTACCATAGTCAATAAAGAGATTGACTGGGCATCACTTTGCAGTGCGAGTGACTTTCTACTTGAATTTACATGATCTGCGCAGGCATCTGCTGTCACGCACCCACCTTACTATTGGGACTTGCGGTCAGGAGCGCAATGGGTTATATTTGGTCTTAAGGAACTGTGACATAAATGCACTGGATGGTGTGAACCTGCCATGAGGGGGCGTGGTGGTGCATTCAAGTAAATGGCACCACAGCCACACCCTCCCGCAGTGCGATTGCCCGCACACGACGCATGGCACATAAATGCCTGCCTTCTGGTTCACGTGACCGCAAAAAAAAAAAGTACAAGCACTAGTTTTTGCCATCGCACTGGACCGGAACGCAGGTATTGCTGTGTTCTGGTGCGGGCGACTGCACTACGGGCAGAGGGGCTTGGCTGCGGTGCCATTGACTTGAACGCACTGCCACGCCCCAGAGCACAGTGAGCTGGCCAGGATGCGATCCAGTGCATTTCAGCAGGTAACCATGCTGTAACGCACTGTAAGTGGTGTGAACCCGCCCTTTATTAGGGCAGACAGTGTTTAAATCTAGTTTACAACTGATAATGAAGTCTGCCAGAACAGTGCAGACAGGGTTTATTAGAGTAAACATAACTTTGCATAGCCCCCTCCATTATTTAGTGGAAAGCGAACGTAGGATTTTTAAGTATAAAGCACTTGAAAATATAAACAAAAATGAGAAAGATGACACTGGATCAAAAACCAATACAAAACCTTCATTGCACAGACATGCATCAAAAATCACAATAGTCCCATAAAGACCCAAATACCGCTAAGTTAAAGATAAAAAATGTTGTAGTAAATGCTGTATTCAGTCAGTCATTATACTGTATCAGTCCCGTGCCTAGAAAAGTAGCTGGACGACTAAAAAGTAACACTATGATAAAGGGTTACATAAGGTCACTTTCACACAGGCTGATCAGGAGAGGATCCGTGCACGGATCCTCTTATGATCACCGCTGTACGGAGCAGATGTCAATGCTGTGACATCCATGTCAATACAGTTTTTTTTTCCTCCATCTTGCGATAGAGGGAAAAAAAACTGCAATTACCGGTCCCCATGTCGGTCTATGGGGAATCCAATGTAAATGGGCACCATGGGTGTCCATTGACATCAGATTTCCACTGATCTGGCACAATGGTGAAACGGACAACTGATCAGTTTGTATTTCCGTACCCGGCCGGAGTCGGGTGTAAACGGACGCCTGTCTGTTTATACATGGCTGCCCATAAACTTGCGTTTGGCTTGCGATCAGGTCAGTTTTTCAGGCGGACCCAGTCAGTGGCCGTGTGAAAGGAGCCTAGGTCTTTCAAGATGTGCATATGATGTATCCATCAACTCGGATCCATATAGAACAATAGCAGGGGTGGTGAGACAACGCGTAACTGGTCGATAGACGATCACCTGTAGTTCTGTCCCGATATATAACTGCCGGTTACCCGAGCTATATGATCTCTCAGTTGCTGTGGAAGGAGCTGCATGGACTGCAATTCCTGTCGTTTGCATAGAGGTGCCTCTCGGTGCCCAGATCGTATTGACTTTACAGGCTGCTATTATTGTGTATGGAACTGAGCTAATGGATACATCATATGCACATTTTCAGAGACTTGTGTAACTGTTTTATCATCTTGTCACTTTTTAGCCATCCAGCTACTTTCCTAGGCATGGGTCTGATACAGTATATTGACAGACGTAATACAGTGTGTACTGCCTTTTTGTTTTTTTTTATCTTTACCTTAGGAAGGTATTTATGGGCCTATTTTGTTTATGTATGTCTGAGCAATAAAGGTTTTGTATTGTTTTTTTGATCTGGTGACCTTTTTTTTCTTTTTGTTTATTATTGCATTACATGAGGTGAAGAGGTGAGACATTTTATATTTATGATCAGTTGGTTCCCCCATCTCTTCCAGTATACTAGAAAATGTAAACAGCAATGTATTTAAGTTATGCCATGTAAATTGGAACATATTACAAACCTAAAAGGGGTAGTTATCTCAATTTGGCTGCAAGAGAAGTATACCGAAAATCTGTGAAGGGCACAATTGAATTTTAAGGCTATGAAGGATTTTTGAGCAAAATATACTTCATTGTCAGAAAGCTCTCTGTCACAGGTCATAAGTCCTTCAAGAGGATAATGACCCAGAGCACATCTCTGAAAGTATCCAAGAATAGCTAAAAACAAAACATTGGACTGTTCTCAAGTGGCCTTCTATGAGCCTCGATCTAAATTCTATCAAACATCCTATTGAAAGAGCTGAAACCTGCAGTCTGGAGAAGGTCCCCCTTAGAACCTTAGACAAGAATAGTAGTCCAGACTACCTGTTGGGAGGTGCAGAAGTCTACTTGAGAGCTACAGAAATCGAATTAGCTCTGGTGTCCTCTAAAAATTGTGTGGTAAAATATTAATCAGATTTGTTTCTTTGATTAACATTTTTTTTAATTACAACCCCAAGTCCAAAAAAGTTGGGACCTAAAAACAGAATGCAATGATTTGCAAATCTCAAACACAAGTTTCATTCACTCTAGAAAATAGACAACCTATCAAATGTTTAAACTGAGAAAAAGTTGAGAGGGCAACAAAAAGTTGGCAAAGTGGTTCTAACAAGGAAGAGCTGGAAGAACATTTTGCAACTGTGATTGGGTATAAAAAGAGCATCTTAGATGGTCAGTCACAGAAGGAAAGATGGGCAGAAGTTCACCAATCTGTGAAAAGATCTGTTGAACACGTCTGAACACGTTTTGCCATGCTATCCAAACATTCAAGTTAAAGCTCTATCATGCAACGAAGAAGCCATGCCTGCACATGATCCAGAAATGCCTGCGTCTTCTCTGCGCCAAAGCTCATTTAAAATGGTCTGTCGCAATGTGGAAAACTTGTTCTGTAGTCAGATTAATTGAAATTTGACATTCTTTTTTGCAACACCGTCCTCTGGACTAAAGAGGTGAGGGACCTTCCAGCTTGTTACCAGCGGTCAGTTGAAAAGCCTTCAAATCTGATGATATGGGGGTGCATTAGTGCGTATGGAATGGGCAGCTTGCACATCTGGAAAGGCACCATCAATGCTGAAAGATATATCCAGGTTTTAGAGCAGCATATGCTCCCAACCAGGCAACATCTTTTTCAGGGAATGCCTTGCATATTGCAGCAGGACAATGCTAAACCAAATACTAAATCTATTATGCGCATGGCTTCATAGCAGAAGAGTCTGGGTGCTTAATTGGCCTGCCTGCAGTCCACACCTTTTACCTACTAAAAATAATTGGCACATCTTGAAATGAAAAATACAACAAAGACCCAGGACTGTTGAGCAGTTAGAATCCTATATCAGGCAAGAATGGGAAGACCATCCTCTCCCAAAACTCCAGCAACTGGTCTTCTCGCTTCCCAGACGTTTACAGAGTGTTATATGAAGAGGGGATGCAGCGCCGTGTTAAACATGACCGTGTCACAGCTTTTATGAGATGTGTTGCTGTTATTTAAAAATTCCCTTATTTCTTTTCCTTAAAATGGTACATATTCTCAATTTAAACATTTGATATGTTTTTCTATTGTGAATAAAATATGGGTTTATAAGATTTACAAATCACTGCATTCTGTTTTTATGTAGATTTTACACATCGTCCCAACTTTTTTGGAATTGGGGTTAGAGCTGCAGCTAACGATTATTTTCAAAATCGATTAGTCAGCCGATTATTGAGTTTGATTAATCGGATAAAAAATAAAATGCCTTTTTAAAAAATGGCTCCAGTGATGTGACTACTAGTTTGTATTGAGATTGTAGTCCATCACAGGAGCAAGCTTGAAGCGGTGGAAGTAAATAAGAAAAAAAAGTATGGTGTGCAATATAGTGAAATGAAAAGTGTAAATTATATAGCAATGAATGCAGAATGGCACCGTCTATAGAGGACTACAAATCCCAGCAAAATACCGAATACCACCAGCTACAGAGGAGTACAACAAATCTAGGGCTGCAACAACTAATCGACATAATCGATTATAATCGATTATTGAAAAAGTTGTCAACTTTTTCAGTAATCGATTAATCGGCTTCCGATCAGTTGGCCCTGTTCACGGCTCCACACACGCTGCACGCCGCACCTCCTCCCCAACTCACGCTCACCGCTGCCAGACCCGCCCGCATCCATCTTCTACACGCCGCACCTCCTTCCCGCCTCACACTCCACGATCGGCACAGGGACGCGGGGAGATGTAGTAAGGAGGAGCAGGTGTGGGGGGATGACAGCCGCTGAGAGACAGGCCCGATCTGAGAAGCAAGTTGCTGGAAGACTGCTCAGGTAAGCTGGCACACTCCCACACATGGTGCTCTATCATGTAATGCTGGGATTTGTAGTCCTCTGTAGCTGATGGTACGTTGTGCTGTATATTATATAGAGCATTGTACCATCAGCTATAGAGGAATACAAATCCCAGCAATACATTATACACTGTATAATGTATTGCTGAGATTTGTTGTACTCCTTTTTATAGTTGGTGATATTCTGCGCTGTATAGAGGACTACAAATCCCAGCAATAGTACATTATACAGCGCCATGCGGAATTCCACCAGCTATAGAAGAGCACAACAAATCCCAGCAATAGTACATTATACAGCGCCATGCGGAATTCCACCAGCTATAGAAGAGCACAACAAATCCCAGCAATAGTACATTATACAGCGCCATGCGGAATTCCACCAGCTATAGAAGAGCACAACAAATCCCAGCAATAGTACATTATACAGCGCCATGCGGAATTCCACCAGCTATAGAAGAGCACAACAAATCCCAGCAATACATTATACACTGTATAATGTATTGCTGGGATTTGTAGTCCTCTATAGCCGGTGCCATTCTGCATTGATTGCTGTATAATTTTACACTTTCCATTTCACTATATTGCACACCATTTTTTTTTTCTTTTTTAATTCCACCGCTCCAAGCTTGCTCCTGTGATGGAGTGCAATCTCAATACAAACTAGTAGTCCCATCAGTGGAGCCATTTTTTTAACATTTATTTTATTGTTTAACCGATTAATCGAACTTAATAATCGGCTAACCGATTTTGAAAATAATCGTTAGCTGCAGCTCTAAACAAATCCCAGCAATAATATATTATACAGCGAAATGCAGAATACCATCAGCTATATAGGAATACAACAAATGCCAGCAATACATTACAGCTGGCGGTATTCTGCATTGCGCTGTATAATGTACTATTGCTGGGTTTTGTAGTCCTCTATAGCTAGTGGTATTCGGCATTGCACCACTGTATAATGTACTATTGCTGGGATTTGTTGTACTCTGTAGCTGTTGGTATTGTGCTGTATAATGCATTCTTGCTGGGATTTGTAGTCCTGCATACAGCGCAATGCAGAATACCACCAGCTATAGAGGGATACAACAAATCTCGGCAATAGTACATTATACACACAGTATATAATGTACTATTGCTGGGATTTGTAGTCTCTCCTATAATATACAGCACAATGTACCATCAGCTATAGAGGAATACAAATCCCAGCAATACATTATAGAGCACCATGTGGGGGGAGTGCAGGCCTGTCTATCTGCGATTGTCATCCCCCCCACACACCTGCTCCTCACTTCTTCTCCCCGCGTTCCTGTGCCGATTGTGGATGTGGGAGGGCGGTGAGCGTGAGGCGGGGAGGAGGTGCGGTGTGTGGATGCGGTTAGCGGCGAGTGTGAGCTGGGGAGGAGGTGCGGCGCGCAGCGTGTGTGGAGCCGTGAACAGGGCCAGTTTCAAATTATTTCAGAGAAACTTGTGGGTGGTCCTTTTCTTAGAAGGGTACCATCAAATTTGGTCAGCCTTGCTCCCACTTAATGTTTTATGGAGATGAGCTGACAACATTGCTTGATACTTTAAGTACAACAAAATCAGAATTGTCAGCTCACCACAGAAAGGGAAATGCTCACTTGATTTCTTGCAGGATCAACAGGAATTCTTTTCTTGCAGCACTTTATAATAGACAAACGTGGGGAATTATGCATTTTATGTGCTAAATGCCCCCCCACCCTCTGAGACATGTGCCAGGAATAAAGTTTTTTTTTTTAAAACTGCTATGAATGTCACAAATTCTTCCTCATCTGGTATTCTGCTTTCTCTTTCTCGCTTTCTCTAAAAATAAATCCATTCATGCCATCCAGGCCAATACATGTGTATCTCGCAAGGTGTTAGTGTAATGGGCACGCTAAACAAATTGGGACCCTGACATGTCCAACCAAATATGGATTAACACAAATTAAAAAATGTGTATAAAATAGATCCCGTTTTTGGATGTACCAAGGTAAGATTTGTGTTTGTTATGCCTACGCTCGTGTAGTATGTAAGATGTTGAAGTGCATTGATGTTTAATAGGTCAGCCAAAGTGTTTTCTTCAGTTAAAATTTTTTGCTTTGGCTGTATAATAAAAAATTTTGTCTGTATATCTCAACGGACTGAGGTGGACTGTTGCTTTCACTTCACTAACTACTGGAGACTCATGAGCGCCTACCTACTTTTGGTTTTATATAGATAATATTTGTGGATGAGCAGCTGGGCATTTACCTTACAAAGTGTGTGTGTAGATATAGATATATACAGTGGGGCAAAAAAGTATTTAGTCAGCCACCAATTGTGCAAGTTCTCCCACTTAAAAAGACGAGAGAGGCCTGTAATTGGCATCATAGGTAGACCTCAACTATGAGAGACAAAATGAGAAAACAAATCCAGACAAATCACATTGGCTAATTTGGAACAAATTTATTTGCAAATTATGGTGGAAAATAAGTATTTGGTCAATATCAAAAGGTCATCTAAATACTTTGTTATATATCCTTTGTTGGCAATGACAGAGGTCAAACGTGTCCTGTACGTCTTCACAAGGTTGGCACACACTGTTGCTGGTATGTTGGCTCATTCCTCCATGCAGATCTCCTCTAGAGCAGTGATGTTTTGGGGCTGTCGCTGGGCAACACGGACTTTCAACTCCCTCCAAAGGTTTTCTATGGGGTTGAGATCTGGAGACTGGCTAGGACACTCCAGGACCTTGAAATGCTTCTTACGAAGCCACTCCTTCGTTGCCCGGGCGGTATGTTTGTGATCATTGTCATGTTGAAAGACCCAGCCACGTTTCATCTTCAATGCCCTTGCTGATGGAAGGAGGTTTGCACTCAAAATCTCACGATACATGGCCTCATTCATTCTGTCCTGTACACGGATCAGTCGTCCTGGTCCCTTTGCAGAGAAACAGCCCCAAAGCATAATGTTGCCGCCCCCATGCTTCACAGTACTATCTATCTCAAAATTTCAAGTCCTGAGCTACTAGCTACCAGCTTAAAACACAATAATACACTTCTCAACGTTACACCCCCCGCACAAATATAATATAAGCCCCCACACACACGCACATAAAATAATATACTCCCCCTTATTACCCCCCCCACACACAATAAATAATATACTCCCCCCTTATTAACCCCCCACACACACATAATATAATCCGCCCTTATTAACCCACCCCACGCACACAAAATAATATACTACACACACACACACACAATAATATACTCCACACACACACAAAATAATACACTCCCCCTGAGCCCCATAAATGTTCACGTCTTTGCAGGGAGGAGGTTGTGAAGAGGATCGATCCCTGGTTATCTGGGGGTGAATAGTGAGGTCTGCAGCTGGGATCGATCCTCCTCACATACGTTCTTTCGGCCGGAGCTCAGAACTGTCAGAGCTCCGGCTGAAGGAAGCCGGAGCTGCTCTGCCGTCTGCATCCGACACAGATGCAGACCGTGGAGCTGCTCCCGCAAGTCAGGTACACGGTCTGCAACCGTGTGCCTGACATGTCAGCTGTCTGCGGGTCACATAGTACCGGCTCGCGGGCCAGAGTTGGCCTGCGAACCGGTACATGGAGACCCAAATTTCCACTCGCCCTAACTTTATTTTTACTCGCCAAATGCGGGCAGGCGAGTGGACCTTTTGAGATGTATGTATGTATGTATGTATGTATTCTCTGCACACTTTATGTAACAAGGTGTTTGAAATAGACCATCTTAGGTTATCTTCTTTTTTTTTTCATGTGCATATTAACACATTAAGCGCATTTCTTTCCTTTTTCCGTTTGCATGTTCTGTTCATGTGCTATAGATCCATGTCGTGGCAAGAAGACCAAGAGAAAACTGCAGCTGCAACCTATGCCAGTCATGCTGTACAAAAGGGAAGATGTATTTTAGGTCAGTGAACATGTGAAGATTTCATTTTTTGGGTTAAAATGTCTGACTATACCCAGACACCACGGGGAAGAGGATGCAGGGCCAGCCTGTGATGTTGCTTTGATCACTAAATTCTGCATTAGGCACTCGCCTAGGGCAAAGTGTTGCATTAGCCTCAGGGTGTGGCACAGGTCCAGGTCTTTGGTCCATCAATGGGTGTAGGCTTGCCATTAAAGACCCTTTTGGGGTATGCCCACCAGGAGGGTGAAGTTAGGATGGGCTTGTCCCTAAGGACCTAAGAGTTACTGTGGAGAGAAAGTGAGTCATGCCTATTGTATTTCCCTGGCCCAGTGTGCTGATGCTCCAGTCTCTCCTGGGTATGATATAAGCAACTGATATAAGTTGTTAACAGCACCTTGTGTCCACTCTAGTGCCTTTTCTTGGCATTCCCATTGTGGGTCTCTCAGGTGGTCCTCCTTGAAAAGGGTCAGTTCTGTGACCCTTTTCAAGTTTCCACCAGATGGATCCTTAGAGATGTCTAGTGTTGGTAACTATTGCTTTACAGCGAGCAAGGCTGACCAGCCTAGATTCTCGCTGAAGCATTTCTACCCTCTTGGTTAGTGGTAGATTCTGAAACAGTCACAGTACTCCCCCACCCTTCCCATTTAGGGGTTAATGGGGACTTACCCTCTTTTCATCCTCCCTCCTCTTATTGATCTTCCTAAGTCTCCCCCCTGGTCTCTGTGAGCTTGGACTTGAGGCAAGATGTGCAGATGGTCCCTAAGGACTTAATTGACCTTGATATGAACACTCAGTTTCTTAGTATCTGTGGGGTAATTCCTTTCCCGCATTGTGGGAGGACTCTTCGCTCTTAACCTTCTGGGCCTCTCCATTCTGGGGACAAAGATTGTGTCCACTTGGGGGTGCTCCCCATGGTTGCTAGTGGGTTAGAATTATTTGGAGTAAGGCTCTTCTACTGTGGTTGCTTCTCAGCCTCAATGGGAAGTTGCTCAAAATGTATTCCATGCTCCTGTCCATAATCAGATTATCATTCTTGGATCTCTGGTTAAGGTTCCTCCCCCTCATTATACGATTGAGGACACTTTGCTGGATCAGAGCAGGTCACAGGAGTTGTACTCCTATGTCCTGGATCAGGTAGACAGGCCCTGCAGGGCGTCTTCCCAGTCAGGTTTTAGTGACGCCACAGGTGTCCTTGAGGACAGCTCTCAACCTACCATTTTCTGGTTAGTATGGAGTGGTTGCTTCCCATGCCTGCCTTTTTTTTACTTTGGGGTTCTTTTTGCTCCCTTCTTTCTTTGTCAGTATCTGACTGACTTAAGCTGATTCCCCTGGGTGTTGTCTCCAACTACTTGGGACCTTGAACATCACATTGGGGTATTATGCTAGATCTCCATCTTGATTATCTCATATTAGTTTGGATGGCTGTCCTAAACATCCCTCCTTCAAGGAGCCTTTCCTCCCTAATGCATAGGGTTGGAGGTTTAAGGCTTGGGCCTCTTGACATCCTTAAACTCGCTGGTCTTGCTTTGTGGGCCTGTTGTCCCGTGTTCCCTTAGGGGTCTGTTTTTTTTTTTTGCTCTTTTCAACCCATTCAGGTAGTTGTTACTCTACCTGCTGCTGTTTGCTTTGGCTCTTTTTACTGAACATGCGTGCTACGGCTCCATTCATTCCAATGGGTGAGTCGTCCTATGCTGAATGGCTAAAAGAATGAATGCACCCGTGGCATGCATATGCTGTAAATAGAGGACCCACTAGGGATGTTTAGCTGCAAAACCTGTGCGGACCTTACCTGGTTTCCTAAAATAGGGGGAATGTAATATTTTAACAGACAGACTGCTCTTAGGTGGTGGGTGTCACTCACCACCTAAAGGTCAATTCTACTAAAGGTACAGTTCTTTAATTCGCAGTCAAAGTTAGTGGCCTGATACTATAGTGAATTGTAATTTGCCTGTTTAGGATTTTGCAAATCAGGTAGTTATGATATATGGGCCATCTGCTGCTTGTTAGATGTGCTTCTATATAAGGTGCAGAAAAACAGCTTTTTTCCCCCCTATTTTACAGAATGGATGTTATCAAGAAATCTGCAAATGAAATCGTGAATAATTCCACAAAAGATGGTATGTGTGTGTGTGTGTGTGTGTATATGTATATATGTATATATGTGTATATATATATATATATATATATATATATATATATATGTATATATATTTATATATATATATGTATATATAATTTTGGTACATTGTTTTTGTTTTGTTACCTGTTGCCTTTTTCTATAAAAGTAATTTTTCTATAATGTTATTTACAAATGGAGTTCATCTACTTTCTGGTCCAGTTCTGGCATTAATTATTTTAATGTGCCAAAGCTTTGCATCCTGAGAAGGGCACATCAGTAGAGCATTGCTGGGAAATCTCATCTGTAATCTCATAAGATTTCAGGCAAAGGCATTTTCCTTCCCTGAGATGATGTACATGTCCTAGTCACATGTACCAGAGTTCCAGGAAGTAAAGTGATATCTAGATAACCTGCCCTTAGTTTACATGGCCACTGTCAGAAGGCAATAAGGTATGCAAAGAATACAAAGCCAGCAATTTATCTATAAATATCTGATTTTCATTACTAAACTTTTCTAAAGGTGTTTGTTACTTTAAAGATATATGGGTAAAGGTTCACTTAAATTTTTTTTATCAAAGAACAAAATGGAAAGTAAATGAACAGTAGAGAAATCCAAATGAATATTTGCTGTGACCACCCTTTGCTTTCAGAACAGCATCACTTCTTCTAGGTACACCTGCACACAGTTTTTTTTTAAGGAACTCAGCAAGTAGGTGGTTCCAAAAACCGTGTGTGTTAGTACTTATACTTCCGGTCAGATTCAGGGAGATTTCTTCTGACCGGCAGTGCCGTGAGGGAACATGGAACTGTGGCTTCCCAGCCAATCATCATTGAGCTGGCTTCCTGGCCAGTCAGGAAGCAGGCTGGTGGGTAATGGCGGCTTCCTGCTTCCCGGCCAATTAGCATTGTGCCAGCCATAAAGCATGGAGCCGGCTTCCCAGTCAATCAAGAAGCTGTGCGGCGGGTAGTGACCCACCTCCTGGCTTCCCGATTGGCCGTGAAGCCAGCTATGGTGTTCGTGGAGGGGGAGTGACAATTGGGCTCCTTTGGAAGTGTACAGTCGCTCAAGATTATTTGTACAAAATGGCTGCTCCTCTACATTTAGCCCAGCTGCCTGCCCGAAGCCAGTCAGTTTTTGGCAATAATGTGTACATAGTTATTGCAGCTTAAGAAAAGCCATTCAAAATAAACTAATTTATTCGTCCTGATTTACAGAGTACATCATATGAAATCGTTATTGCTTCCGGTTCAGTAGGCAGAGGGAAGATGAGCCACTAAGTGTGCTGATCTCCCTCTGCTTAAGCTGCAGACAACCTCCGTGCTGGTCCCAGGCAGCCAGCAGCGGTGGAGTGGAGGAGTGCTCACTTTCTAGCAGCATGTACAAGTGATTGGGCAGCTCGACAGCTCTGTGAAAGCCATCATTTGGCTGAAAAAACAGTACCAGTAACAGTGCAGCAGCCGTGACGTTAGTACAACCACTTCAGGACGACACCATTTCTATACCCATTGCATTCCTGAAGTGGTTGTTTGCATATGGCCTGGTATTATACTTGGCAGTAATTTTCACCTCTACTAAACTTAATACCCAACTTAAACTTTAATCTTGATTACAGTGTTGTGTTTTTGTTTTTTTTAGGATGCAAATATGAGGAAATTCCAGAATTGGAGGTAATATATCATCTTTGTTTTAGTTGATTGACCTTTACTATATGTACTATATGTTAAAACAATTTTTTTTAATTAAAGAAAAATGTTGGCATTGATCAAATTACGTGAGTGGCAGCTGTGGAGAGAGCTTAGCTCTCTGGTCTGCCATATACAGAACTGTAGATGCACCACCATATTGTGATTATCAGAAATGTGGCAGCGAGATGCATGCACAGTAGTGACAGGCAGCAAGATCCTGCACATGCATGGTAGTGCAGACTGACCACTACTGGTCGTGTGCAAGATTTAACCATTATATTGATGGCAGCATTTGAGGAGAGCAGGTGCACACGCATGGCCAAACATTTATTTTTATTTTTTTCATTTTAATTCTTGTATGTGGGCATCCATTTGGGTTTAGGAAGTGTATTTCCCTCTGTCTCACCACACTAACTCCCTCACCTCTCTGCTGAAGGATAGTCAAGTTGTGGGTGAAAGAACCTTTGTCTTGGGGAAGTCAAACCCTTAGGCTGGGTTCACACCTGGGCGTTACCATAGGCGCGTTTTTTCTGCTCGTTTTTAGCACGTTTTTACTTTCAGTGAAACGCGCGTTCAAGGGTTTTTTTTTTGTTTTTTTTTTTTCTACCTCCCTGGCGGTATGATTTTTTTTTTTTTTTTTTTTTTTTTTTTTTTAAAATTTCCCTCCTTTTC